TTCACTGCAAATATATTTTAAAAAGCAACACAACGGTGCATATGGACCTCACCTGATGCACTGCATAAAAATCAGATTGACTATATCTGTGGAGGGAATCATTGGAGAAGTTCAGTATCAGCAGTCAAAACTAGACAAGGTGTGGGCTTTGGTATAGATCACCAATTATTTAATGTGTAAGTTAAAATTGAGGCTAAAGAAAATCAAAACAGTTCCATGAAATTCTAAGTATGATTTTGAGTCTATTGTATCTGAATTTCAAAATCATTTTAATAGTAAGTTTGATGCTTTGAGCACCAATGATCAAAGACCAGATGAGCAGTGGCATGACATCAAGGGTATCATCCATGGAGAGAGCAAAAGATATTTACAAAAACAGAGGAGAAAGAAACAAAAATTGAAATGAATGTTAGAAGAGACTCTGAAGATTACTCTAGAGTGTCAAGAAGCCACAACAAAGGTAAAAGATGCCAAAGTAAAAGATCTGAACAGAAGATTTCAAAGAACAGCTTGATAAGACAAAGCAAAGTATGATAATGAAATGTGCAGGGAGTTGGAATTGGAGACTAAAAAGGGAAGGACTTGCTCTGCATTTCTTAAGTTGGGAGAACTGAAATACAAATTTAAGATTTGAGTCACAATACTAAAAGATGTTATGGGCAATATGTTCAATGATCCAGGAAACATCAAAAGAAGATAGAGGGAATACACAGTCCCTGTACCAAAAGAAAACTGAAAAATTTCAGGGATTACCATATGAACAGGAGCTAATGGTAATGAAGCTGAAGCAGCACTGAAGGCATTGGCAAAAAGTAAGGCCCTAGGAATCAATGGGATACCAAGCGACATGTTTCAACTAATAGATGCAGCCCTGGATGTACTCACTGGTCTGTGCCAGGGAATTTGGAAGAGAGCTGTCTGGCCAACTGATTGGAAGAGATCTGTATTTGTTCCTATTCCCAAGAAGGATGATCCAGCAGAATGTGGAAACTATGGAACAATATCATTAATATCAGATACAAACAAAGTACTACTTAAAGATCTTTGAAAAATGGCTAGAACAGTACATAGATAGGAAGCTCCTGAAGCGCAAGCAGAATTTAGAAGAGGCTGTGGCAGCAGGACTATCATTGACGTTAAATTGATCCTGGCTCAACATAAAGAATATCATAGGATTGTCTACTTTTGCTTATTGACTACACAACAGTATTCAACTGTGTGGATGTTACCAAGTTATAGCTAACATCAAGAACAATGGGACTCTCAGCACACTTAATTGTGCTTATGCGAAACCTATACTTAGACCAAGAGGATGTTGTGTGAACAGAGCAAGAGGCACTACATGGTTTAAAATTAAGAAAGGAGTGTGTTAGAGTTGTATTTTCTCTCCTATTCATTTTGTATGCTGGGAAAATTATCTGAGAAGCTGGACTCTACGAAGAAGCACGTGGCGTTTAGATTGCAGGACGACTCAACTATAACCTGCATTATTTAGATGATGCAACTTTGTGTACTAAAAATTGAGGAGGACTTGAAGCACTTGTGGCAGGAGATAAAAGAATACAGCCTTTGATATAGATTGCATCTCAACATCAAGAAAACAAAAATTTGTATCACTGTAACAAAATTACTGAGGAGTAATGATGTCTGTCTAACAACGACAACACTCTTACAAGAAAGGAAATTGAGGCAAAGAGAAGCCTACCTAGTCTAAAACATCCTAGATTGACTTCACAAGATGTCTCTGGAGTACCTACACTTAAATGATACCCTCCACCTAATAGCTCATTGGATCTGTGATTTAAAAAAATAGATTTTTTATTATATTGATTTATTTGCAAATTATAAATACATTGTTGTTCACATCAGATCTTTCCCATTTCCTTCACGCCCAAACTCTTTGAATTGTATGACCCTATGATTAATCAACTCCCCTGTGACCTCCCTCCTCACCCCTCTGCCTACACACACACACACACACACACACACACACACACACACCTTTGGAGAAGAATTTAAAAACTTGATGAAATTCATATTGAATCATAAACATCTTCCAACTATCAACAAATTGAGGAAAAATAAAGAAAGCAATAAAAAAGGCAGATATTTTTGAGCAAAGTTTTTAGAATGTTCACTTCCCAAATGAGTAGAGAGTATGAATTACAGAAATATCTAATAAATATGACAAACATTTGGATTACATTGTACATATGCTGCTGAAAGGAATTTCAATAACTAGTGTCATTCTTTCATGAGAAAATGTTGAACATATTTCACACAATATTTCTGGGTAAAACATTCAACTATGGATGACTGTTATTGGTGCTCTTTCTAGCTTATTCTGCACAAAATACAGTGTATATCTTATGTTTTGTACAAAATTTGAAATGATAATCACAAGATTTTCAATAATTCGTAGGTATATTTTCATTTGGAAGCAAGAGTGGCATTATCCACTTCCTAAACAACATGCCTCTGGAAACTCTTAATTTTGGTAAATGTCTATAGAAAGGCTTCAGGATTTTTGTTCATAGAATTGCTATGAGTTGTGCTCAACTTCAAAGTAATCAACAATAACAATATTTCCATTCAGAAATTAACAAAAGTGTATGGTCTTAAACAATCAAATGTGATACCTTTCCTGTGCTTAACATGCCTCCAGAAACTCTATGAACTTTGATAAATGTCAATAGTTGTAGAGGGGCTTTGAAGCCTTTTGTTCATAGGGTCATTATGAGTCATGCTCAAAAACAATCAACAACAAACAACAACAATCAGGTTATTAAGCCAAGTTGTAAACCATTGTTTGTTTTACCTTTCCCATCATTATCATCTACAATACGGAGTCTTTTGTGACTTTCCCCCTAACTTCTCCCATGTAATTTAAACATCACAATATATATACCATATGCATTTACAAAATATTTACATGATTGTTGTTTACCACCAGTTATGAGTTCATCATCATTGGTAATGAATTTATAGCTGACCTTCCAGCAGGTTTTTATAGACAGTAAATCTTATAAGAGATTGCTTTTCTTTCTTCTGCAGAGCAGGTGGTGGATTAGAACTGTGTACACTGGGTTGGCAGTGCAACTCCTTACCATTAAGCCACAAGATCTCATATTGATATATACTCCTTAGAGCTATTATGTACCTTTGAGTGGGGACAGAATTAAGGCTGACCCTCCAGACAAAGTAAATGGCATCAGAGTTGATTGTGATCATGCTCCTACAGAGTAGCTGGCAGATTTGAACATTGTACCTCTGGGTTGACAGCACAGTTCTTTACCTCTAGTCCATGGTATATTATTGTATAATGCAATAATAAACTGAATCGCCAGAAAAGCAAGTAAGTCTTGAAGAAAGTGAAGTCACAATGCTCCTTTAAAGACAGTGAGGCTTCATCTCATGTATTTTAAACATGTTGTTAGGAGGGGCTATTTTTGGAAAAGGATATCATGCTTGAAAAGCTAGAAGGTCAGTGAAAAATGAGAAGATGCTCAACAATATTGATTGATTGACACAGTGACTTCAGAAATTAGTTCAAAGTATGTCAGAAATGGCATAGAATATGATAGGGTTCAGATCTGTTTTTCATAGGGTCACTAAGAGTCATATTTGACTTGATAGCATCTAACAACAACATATTATATAAATGTAAACAAATGCTATATGCCATGCTTGTCTGTGTGTGTGTGTGTGTGTGTGTGTGTGTATAATTAAAAATAAAAACTAATGTTATTTGTTGTCAAGATGGAACTGACTCCTTATCCTCCAGCAGGATTCTGAGGCTATATATTAGACAAATATATGATGTGTGGTGTATATGTATGGTATACAAGTCTTACACATTAAGAAAATTAAGATCTTTTTTATCCTCAAGGTTGAATTTCTTGAGAAAAAAAAAGCATCAGTATGGGCAATGTATGTCCTAGACTATAAATTATTATGAAAGCGTACTAATACAACAATGATTTTATAAATCATTATATACCAAGCAATTGTACAAAACTTTGAGATCAAAATTCTGAACAAGTATTCCTAAGGAACTCAGAGGTAATAAGAAATAAATAATAATGATAATAAATATAAAATGCTTCAAGAAAAATCTCTTGGCCACTAAGGTTTATTAAAAAACTTACCATTTCATGGAAATATTGTTTGCTTCTATTACTGTAACCATTGGTAATTATTTTTATTTTAATTAATTTTAATGAAAATTTACAGATTTTGGATTTCCATTCATTCATTGTTGCACTTTTCTCCCTGTCCACCCCTTCCCCCTAGTACACTCTGATCTTCGAAAAGTAAAAGAAAAATTTATTCATTGTTTTAAAATCCCTCCCCCTAGGTCCATTCCATTATGCAGCCTTCATTCTGGACACCTGTCATCACAATAATACCTAATCACATGTCCCTTTTAAACAGTTTGGTAGGTCATGGGAAGACCTGCTGGAGCCAAACAGATCATGATTTTTAAAAATGTTTTACTTATGTGCTTCTTTAAGCAATTTATTCTGTAAAAAAATTTTAAAAATAAAAGTGTGCATAGTGTGTGTGTGTGTGTGTGTGTGTGTGTGTGTGTGTGTGTGTAAAATGTGCCATCAAGTTGCCTGTGACTCACAGTGACTCTCTGTACTATAACTCTAAAGCCTGCCCTCTCTTGAGCCAGTCTCACTGACACAGACATAGCTACCCCATTATCACAGTTACTATGTCAATCCATCCCATCTGGAGTCTTCTTCTCCTGCACTGTCCCTCCACCTATCCAAGCAATGTTATCCTTTTCCATGAACTGGTCCCTCAAAATCAAGTGTTTCTAGTTTTCAGCCTTTGAATATACATAATAATTTAAAGCTCTCCAAGTCTGAATGTTGAGTATTTAGAAGAATTGTTACTTCAAATAAAATAATATAAAATGTGTTTTTTGTTAACTAAGTGCTGGAAGATTAGATAGGTATAAAAATATGACATTCATTCCTTTTCTTTTGCAGCTTCTCTTTGGGAAACCAATCCTGGTACAATAAGGATTTTTTCCAACCAGGTTACTGCCACCTTTGTTATACAATCTGATGAAACTGAATTCATTGGGTTTAATGCAACATATACTGCATTTAACAGTAGCCATCTTAACAGTAAGTATTATTCTTTAGCATTTTAGCATGAATTTTCAGGTATTTTGGTAATATAATGAGATTTTAAATGTAGTAGAGCCTACAATTTTACATATAACAAGACTGTAACTTGCTTCATTTTGCAAGTTCTTAAGTTCTCTTACATGAAACTTTCTTTACTTGATGCTTGGAAAAAAGTTGGAAAATAATGCAGAATGTTAAAATAATTTAAAAAACTTAACTGATAAATAGTTCAAATAAAATAATGACTCAAATAATATTTATACATTGCAAGTATTAAAGCAAAAATAGTATAAAGCAAATGTTGATAGCTTCCATTTTAATTGGATTTTCACTGAAAACTTAAATTTAGTAACACAAAGCTCATACTTACTTCAGTCAATTCCCTGTCACAGTATGTTCCATCAGGTTTCTGAAATATTAAGTATTTATAGAAGTTATCATTAATCACTTATAACAGCTAGTAGATTTGAATCCCTGACCTTTCAAAAAGCAATGTAAGACCTACAGCACCCTGCCACCAGAGTTCCTTAAATTTATTAATGTTGTTGACATCAAGTCAGAACCAAACCATAGCTGACCCTCGAGTGGGTTATAAGAAGCAGTTAATCACAAAGGAGGAGATTGTCCATCCTTCTCCTATGGAGCAGCTAGCTCATGGTTTTGCGCCTTTGGGTTGCAGCACAGCTTTCTACCATTAGGACACCAACAGGAAAGAGAAAATGTAAAACAAAGTGTATTCAGATAAGTCAATGGGGGGAAAATGAGGTAAAGATTATGTTAAAAGAACATAAATGAGTGTGTCAAAAGACGGATCTAGCAGAATTGACAAAGCATTAGTGTTTGTTTTTTTTTAATGAAATGACATGAATAAAGAATAATTATTTTGTGCTTACCTCAATAAAAATGTATTGTTTCAATGCAACCTGTTTTAAGAATTTACATTGTGAAAGATATTTAATTGTTTTTATTGTTACAGCTTCTTTTCTTTTTCAATTCATAGACTATGAAAAAATTAATTGTGATTTTGAAGATGGTTTTTGTTTCTGGACCCAAGATCTAAATGATGATAATGAATGGGAAAGAATTCAAGGATATAGCTTTCCTCCCAATTCTGGACCAAACTTTGACCACACTTTTGGAAATACTTCAGGTATAATTCACTTAATTTACAAATCAAAGAGATGCAATGAGTATTGTTCTCATTTAGTTTGATGTGTACAGCATTAATGGAAGGCAATGCTTCTAAACATTTTTCTTTCAGTAATTAATTAATAACTATGTTTAAAAGTAAAAAGAGCAATAAGTATTCACATAGGTAAGAAATACTTTAGCCCTTATATTCATATGTTGAAAAGTAAACAAAGGCCATTAAGGAGGTCAACAGGACATTCCAAAGGATGGATCAAGAAGACAAAGTAAGCTATTATATTGAAATGGAAAAGACTTGATATTAGAAAATCATAGTGAACAGGGTTGGCATTTCTTAAACTGAAAAAAAAAAAAGAAATAGTTCAAGTCTTGAGCTGTAATACTGAAGAATTCTGTGTGGAAAATAGTGAATGGCGAAGGAAATAGTTCAAGAGGTACAGAATACACGGTATCCTCTATCAAGGATAATTTATTGAACTTCAACTATTTCAGTAGGTAGCATATGATCAAGAATGAATGAGGCTGAAAGAAAGAAGCCCAAGATGCACTGAACACTTTGAAAAAATTTAAACCCACGTCTCTTGTGTTGATTTCAGTTCACAGCAACCCTCTAATTCACTTGTCTTTCTATCATAGTGCAAGTGACAGATTCAAACTGATGGTTGTTTAAGTAACAACTCAATGCATAATGCAACACAACACCAAAGCACCTTACTAAGCTCCAAGAATTTCCAGAATACCAAGTGAAATATTTCAATAAATTGCACCAACATACCTGCCTATGCCAAGAAATTTGGAAGACAGTTATTTGGCCAACTAACAGAAATAGATACATATTTGTTCCCACTTCAAAGAAAACTAATCAAACACAATATGTGAATTATGGAAACATAAAATTAACAAAAATATCATTAGAAAAATTGACAGTAGATAAGTAGAATTGAATGTAGTAAACAATTTTTGTAAACTTTTTCTGCCTTAGTCTCATTTTGAGTTGTTCATGTGTAGGAAGAAAATGGATTTTCACTTATTGACTTTCTATCCTTCAACTTTTGTGAACTCATTTATTAGCTCATACATTTTGACTATTCTTTGTCCAATTAGGAATTATAGAGAATCTATGTACAATGTAAAAGAACACTACTCAGTTCTATAACATCATACAGTTTCCAATATATTTGAGCCCATTGTTGCTGTCATAATGCCAATCCAATTAAATGATGATTTTTCACTTTTTATGACCTTTTACAAAGCAAAGTCATTTTATCCAGAATCTAGTCTCTCCTGGTAGCATGTCCAAAATGCATGTCATGAAATCTCACCATACTCCCTTCTAAGGAGTATTATGGCTATGTTTTCTTTCTTTCTTTTTTTTTTAAAAAAAAAGTATCCACTGTTCTAGAGGTCATTCTTTAAAAATATTCTTAGCAAACATTAATTTTTTTTCAACCTTCCTTCCTTGTTCTCTGTTCAGCTTTCACACACATATGTTGTTGTTGTTGTTGTAAGGTGCTGTTAAGGTGCTAACTTATAGCAACCCAATGAGCAACAGATCAAAATCTTTCTTTATCCTGTGCCATTGTTGCAATCTATATTCAAGCCATATTCAAGCCCATTGTTGAAATTATTGCATCAATCTATATCATTGAAGGTCTACTTCTCTTTCGTTAACACTTCCCTTTGCCAGCATGGTTTCTTTATCTAAGGACAAACTCTAAATGACAAAACCAAAGTGAGATACAAATTAGCCACACTTGTGTTTATGGGACACCCTGGTTGAAATTGTTTCAAGAAAAACCTCTAAGAAAAACTATGTTCACTTGACAGTCCATGGAATAGTCATATTTTTTGCCAATACCACAATTCAAAATCATTTATTATTCATTGGTCTTTCTATTTCATTGAAGAATTGCATGTAAGGCAATTAAAAATATTGTGATTTCATTTGGACTATCTTGGTCTTTAATCTGACATCTCTTGTTCTTTAGCACTTTAAAGAGAACCATGGCAATGTATTTATGATACGTAATGATACGATACGAAATTTGATTTCTTGATTTTGACTACAATGGGTGGTGAGTGTAGATTAAATTAAAATAAAATAATCAAATTCATTATTTTTTTCTGTCTACCATGATGTTGACAATTGTTCCAGTGGTGAGGATATTTGTTTGATGCTGAGATGCAATACATTTTGAAGAATTAAACTGATTGAATATAAAATAAAGAAACATGAATATTAGTTAATGAGCAGAATCCAAAAGTTGGAAACAAAGAAGGCCCAGTAGAGAGAAAATATGATTTTGTTTCAGAAATAAATGGAGGCTGTGTGATACAATTTTGTATAATGGTTTCTTCCTCTCCGGTTCCTTTTGGGAAATAAACAAAACACTATAAACTTGCAGTTATTCCAACAGAATTTAAAAAATAAAGTCTTAAGAATATATTTGATGCATTGAATACTAATGACTGATGATAAGGCAAGTTGTGTTATAGAATCAAAGATATCATTCATAAAGAAAGCAAAGGTCTATTACAAAGGTTGGAATGAAAGAAAAGATAAAAATTGATCTCAGAAGAGACTTTGAAACTTACTCTTAACTGAAAGAACCAAAATGAATGGAATAAATTATGAAATAAGAAAGTTGAGCAGAAGATTTAAAAGGGAAGCTTGAAATACAAATCAAAGTAGTATAATGAAATATGCAAAGACCTAGAATTAGCATTTCTCAAGTTTCTCAAGGATTTTTTGAGCAAGATATTGCATGACACAAGAAATATTAAGAGAATATGGAAATAATATACAAATTCACAGTACCAAAAAATTTTGCTGGACATCTGACTGTACCATTTCAAGAAGTAACATATGATCATGAACTAATAGTACTGAAGGTAGTAGTCAAAGCTGCACTAAAGGCATTTACTAAAAAATAAGGCCCTAGGAATTGATGAAATATCACCTAATATATTTAATCAATAGTAAACAACCTTGGATGTGCTCATTAGTTTTTGCCAAGAATTTGGAAGACAGTTATCTGGACAACCGGCCAGAATATATACAGCTGTGCTCGCATTAAAAAAGAAAAGTGATAAAACAAAATATGGAAATTACAATAGCATTAAGAACAAAATCAGGTAAAATACTGTGGACGATTATGGGAAGAAAATGGCTGGAACAATACATTGACAGGGAACATCTAGAAATCCTAGCTAGATTCAGAAGAGGGCATAGAATGGGAGGTATTATTTTTTATGTCATATGGATGTTGACTGAAAGTAGAACTTTTTAAAAAAAGATACACTGATATGTTTTCATTGACTATAAAAGGTATTTTTAATTTTTTCTTTTATTTTATATTCATTTGCATATAAAAGCCATATACATTTTGTTTCATTTCTATACTTTGTGTTTCATGCATTCCTCCATTCTGAATGAGTTTCACGTTATCATTACTATATATTGTATTTTATATAGTTACTCCTCACTTATCCAAACCTACCATTACCCCACCTTTTTAGGTTCCCATTAGATCTTTCCTAAGTCTTTCACCTCTTTACTTTGCTCCCCAAATATTGTAACCTTGAGATTCCCCCCCCTTCTCTCCCTCCCTTTTGTGGACACAACCTTTTGGACTTTGGTACACATCTTGCTCGTAATTCTTCTATTTTTACAATAATGATTTTATGCTTTACTTGTCCTTATGAGACTGAGTTCACTCAGTGTAATGCTCTCCAGCCTCTCCCAGGTTATAATAGTATGTTTCAAAATCATTGCTCCTGTGTGCAGCATAGTATTCCATCATACAAATATACCACAATTTCTCAATTACCTTGTTTGTTGTTGGATGTTTTAGCTTTTTTCCATCTTCCTGTTATTGTGAGCAATGCTGCTATAAACATCAGTGTACAATTCTCCATTTGTGCCTCAGTTATATTGTCCTCAGGTTATATTCCTAGGAGTGTAACAGCTGAATCATAAGGAATTTCTATGTCCAACTTTTTAATCTTTCAAAATGATTTCCGCAGTGGTTTTACCATTTTACAATCCCACCAACAGTGTATGAAAATTCCAATTTCTCCACACCCTCTTCAACATTTATTACTTGCTGTCCTAATGAAATTTGCTACTGCTAGAGGGATGAGATGGTATCTCATGATGGTTTTGATTTGCATCTCTCTTATTGCCAGTGATTTTGAGCATCTCTTTTGTACATTGGCCATCCAAATATCTTCTTCTGTAAAGACTTCCCCTGTCTATTGCCAATTTTATAAATGTGTTATCAGTTGTTTTCTTGTGTAGACGCAGTACCATTCTGTAAACTTTTGTTACGAGACCCTTGACTGAGATGGCTTTGCCAACTGCTGTTTTTTTCCCCCAGTCAGTAAGTTTTGTGTTTTTCACTCTATTGGAAAAACAATCGTGACGCACTCAGGGATTTTATTTTCCTTAGGAAATATGATTCATTGATGTTATCCTCTTCTGACTGTACATTTCTGTCTGTGTTTGTGGGCTATAAAGTGAATTTGTTCATAATAGATTATGGATAATATTGAGAAGATAGGGAATTTCACAACACATAATTTAGCTCCAGGCAAAAAAGAAACTGTTGTTTGAACATCATAAGCAAATTATGCACGGCCTGGAGTCAAGAATGGTGTGTGTCAGGATTCCATCTTTTCTACATACCTATTCAATCTATATGCTGAGCAAATAATTCAAGGAACTGAACTGTAGAAAAAAAATGTGGCATCAGAATTGGAAGAAGATTAATCAATGATATATGTTATCCAAATGACACAACCTTAGTTGCTGAAAGTGATGACTTGAAGCACCTACTGAAGAATACCGAAAGATTACTGCCTTCAATATGGATTCCATTTACTACAACACTAAAAACATGCCTATAAGAACATTAAGCATATCATAGCTTTGGTCAGACTTATGTTGGTCTTCAAAATAACATCTTTGTTTTTAATATTCTCATTAAAAAATATTATTTT